CTAACCCGTGTAGTTATGAAATAATTGTTTTTAACGAAAAGGTGCTCCCGAAGTATTCGTCCAAGATGGCGCACAACCTGAACATTGCATGTGTATCAGGTTAGGATTCAGGTTGTGCGTCATCTTGGTGGGAATACTTAAAATCCATTTAAAAAAAAATGCTTAACGTTATATACTCCACACCCACCTGGGTATCATTATATATGTCATCGACATTATATCTAAACAATAAAAAAAACTTTATGTCCCAAAACAATGTTAATGCCCGATTCTGCCGGACTATACGTCTTTTGGAAAATTATTCAAATCTAAAAACCATCTTGATGGTTTAAATGAAAATCCCGTTTTATTTTATGGGTACGATCGTGTTAGCTCATTCTCCTAACTGTGTTCGCGATTGCCAATGAGAGAGATACGGATATAAGCTCTATCCAGTACTCTGGTTGAACGCTCCATAAACCTCGAAGTGCGTCGTAAATGTAAGTAGGAAAGGATCAAGATTTGGAGCTAGGATTCGATATCGAGTGTCATGCCACGTTAACAAGTTTTTATTCTTTTTTACATTTATTAATTGACGCTTTTATTATAGATATATTCACCTTTATGAAACCCAGAACTATAATATTTAATTAAAATTAAGTGATTGGTTGCAAAATATACCTATAAACGTACATGTGTGATACATCCCGTGAGTTGCCTTTGCAATCGTTGGATGAGCTGTTAAGGTGATATAAAATCTATGTTGTTGTAGCCTAAAAGTGGAAGAGTGGCATCTCTTTACCACCTGGGACGACATTACAACTATGGGGCAAAAAATATCGGCAATAACGGAGAAGTGTCACAGATTGGCATGCAAACATTTCAACGATGCCTAAACACTTTCAGAATTAACTGGGGTCGGTGGACAAAATCCAGCTTACAAGCAAGGTTGGAATCGCACGATATTCATATCTTTATTTCTTGGCAAATAACAAAAGAATAAATATTTAAACGCATTTTCTAAAGTAGTCAGAGATGCGCGTTGATGAGCGTGCATTATTGTAACAGTCGAATCTCTTTTTGGAGCTTCAATTGTGACGCCATGGACTCGAATGATTGGATTCGAATTCTTGGCCTATGACTCAAATTCGACTAATTCGACACATCCCACAGAAGTAAGTAAGTTTTCAAGAGTACTCTGAATAGAATAAAACTGACATATTACCGTACAGTCACAATGCTTCAAAAAATAACGGTGCAAAAGGCAACAATAGCATGAACATATGAAAGCAAATGTTGTCAAAGTACGATTCATCTTCGTTGAATTTCCAACACAGATAATAATATATTCTGACAATATCTTATTTTATGATTCGTTTCGCTACAACGGGATTTCTTCTCGTTCTAATGATTTATTTTTGTAAAATGCATGTTTTGCTCATATCCATAAAATGTCATGTTGCCATACTTTTGCGTTCATGACTTCTATTCCTTCTGCACAGTCTTTCCACAACAACTTCTGGATCTCCAATGTTTTGTTTAAACTTTTTAAAGATCTTTTAAATGCATTTTAAATGCCTTGAATGTATAATGAAAACGAACTTTACCGTTCATTACCTTTGTCTGTCCTTCCCCCGTAAATATAGCATGAAATATCTCTGTTACGGACCCATTAACCGTAAACAGATAAAATAATATGGTTCGGTGTCAGAATTATGCCCGCCATTCTTTTTTTATTATTCGAAAATTCATGTTTAGACACATCTGACAACAGACGTGGGCCATGTATGCTGAATCCAACAAAGATTACGTTGCTTTTATTTGGTAAAATAAACGTAAAATATATATCATTGTGAGGCAATTCAAAAGTTTCAGTGTTTATGACATTGAAATGTCCTTCTTTACCAATGACGTTGAACTGTTATCCATCAGTGCCTCAATCCAGGTTTCTACGCCCCTGGACTGGCTTATTGTTTATACTCGTGCCATTTAACTCGACTTATAAAAGTAAGATTTTCATGCTGGAAATATTACTACAATGAAATGTGTACAAGACAGAATTATAAGTCGTTTTGTTATGATTGTAAAACACATTTAGTTAAGAAATGAAAAACATGATTAACGTTGCTATATGGTTGCTATGCCTCGATGTATATTTTAAATTCAAGTAAATATCTTTGTGGTTCCGAGCTTATATTACTGGATTGCTGTTTAATCTTGAGATGACCCCACTTACTCCAATAGTATACAATTATTAATTTATTTCAGATTAAACAAATTTTGTATGAACAAACAGTTATGCAATGTGAAGATTCTATTCATGATAAATAAAGAATTTCTGTTGGTCTATTTAGAACGCAATCATCAGAAAAATATCGTAGAATTGTAACGTATGAGTCACTGGCAACGATTCGGAAACAGAAAGACCAGGAAGAAATATAATAATATAACTGCTGTGGAGAATCAAAGCATTGGTGGTGCCAAAGGAGAAGACCGCGTAAATAACATTTCTGTGTACTTAATCGTGTGGATATTATCACACTATTATTAAATGAAAAAAAAATTGCGTACATACAATTTTGGATCTTTCGTGAATTAAAGTAATTGACGAAACGGCGGATGAATCATTATACTACATAATAAATAGGAATTGTGTGAATAAGTAGTTTTTATGCATCAACTATTAATTAATATTGACAATTTTTTGGTACTCCCGAAGTATGTGAACCAAGATGGCCGCCACCGGAACGTAGTATGTGTACCAGGTTAGGGTTAGGTCATAATTTTATTCCAATTTTTCCTTATTTTAGTTCTATTACGAGTTTGGGGACTAGTGTTTGTACCTGAAATTATGGCCCAACCGTAACCTTGTACACATACTACGTCCCGGTGTCCGGCATATTGGTTCACATACTTCGGGAGTACCAATTTTATCCATAAAATAACGTTTTATCAAAATTTTCAAAATCAAATCAATATAGTCGATCAGAGTATTAAATTGAAATTTGTGTTTTGACAGCTAAAATCAGTACACTCGTTGAAATAAAAATACAACATAACGCGCATATGCTAATTAATATTTTAATCAATTATCAAAATCGCATATAGTATGCAACGGTGGTTGAAACAGATTAACGTTAATTATGCCCCAGGCATAAATATCGGTCACGACCTCTATGCAGGTGTACAGGCATTTTCATTTCAAATATAATAGAACAATAAGAATTAATTGCGCTTCAAAAATCCCCCATTGTTCTCTCTTTTTTATCTTTACGCGGTATCTAGACATAGCATATATGTTATTTTTTTCAACAAACCAAGGTGCCAATTAACTCCGACAAGATTTCTGAATTCTGCGGAATTACGGCAATAGTTTTACAACACTCTGATCCATACATAACAAAACACATAGTTAGTTCATACACACTAGATTGTCTTGCTATTCAAATATGTTTTATAAATTATTCTTTCGTGTAATTGAATAAAGGTCTGATATTGGCGAAATATGCATCGCAAAATATTTAAATAAATGTGCTGCTGAAATAATTACACTTTGCCGTCGTTTTATATAATCTGCTGCGACAAACGCAGGCAGAACATTGAAATATCAAATGATCGAAAATTTTGATAGTCAATGCCACCACGAGGGCCAATAATTAATAGCTATCAACGACATTATTCTATCAATCAAAACTAATCACACTACATATATTTCGAAGTCTGTGATTTTGCTCTTGAACAACATCTGGCGGTATTACATTTTCGTTTCCTCACATTGAAGTTAATTACACGCTTTCAAATATTTTACCCCAATGATCACCCTGCTAAGTTTAAATTAATTTATAACAGTTAGGTTCACGTCCTATTTTATCCTGTTTAGATTTGTTTTTCTATCAACTGATCCAAATATTAAAATGGACCCTTTCACGAAATTTTTAGCATCCCAAATGAGCACGTCCACGTCGTTCCTAGCAATATAAAAAATGTTAATCACGTTCAAGATACCGAATAATTTTCAATTTATATAATGTATTCGTTCCTAAAAATAGTTAACTATAGACACGGGATATCGGCTCACATGAATCATCAACGTGATCTGAGAAATTCCATATAAGTAATTCGTAATCACACGAAAATAATTAATGGTCAATGAGCATGTGTATGTATACAAAATGTACAATATCTGGTCACAATTTACGCCGGAAACACCCATGAAGTTCAAATCAAAATATACCTCTTTTCAATGAAGACTTTAACATATTTGTTTTGCGTCGACCACAAATATCCACTGGATTGAAGATGGTTGGTTTGTATATCTACACGATTTATTACACCCCGGGTAAGGCGGTAGTATTGGTCTGGGCAGCAGGCACGCAGTACCTAAATTTTGACAACAGGTATAAGATACAAACGAATTGCGTGCCTACGTGCTAATCATTAGAATATTATCAAATTTTACATTGTTTATGATATTTTTTTACTTATATCAAATGCCATAAATATAGTTCATGTTTTTTGGGTAATTCATGCCTAAAAATCAGGTCGTTTAAGGAAACGATATCCCTAACAATTACCAGATTTTTATGCGAGATAACAACTTATTTGTGTTGCTTAGCGCTAAAATTCAAGTCTTTATCAGTAATATTATTTCCTAAATGTTTTTATATCTTGAATATTTGTCATCGCAGTAGTCAGTAATTACTAATCAACACAATGATGTCATTCTGGCACATAACGAGTTATTGTTTTGCATAAAAATCATTTTTATCAGTAATCCAATTCACGCAAAGGTGGTCATTAACTGGGTTTCCCTCGAGCAATAGAGCGATAGCGTACCCGACTCCGTCCAGGCGACGTCTAATTTTTAGTTTTTCTTTCTTATCGCGCCGTTCGTCTGAGCTATCGTCCCTGTTCGAGATAGCGAGCGACAAAGTGTTGACTATAAGTCGCTCGGTCGTCTACCGTAACACCATTCAGTCGAGTTTATTCATCGATCAGATAGTTCGATCAGTTTTGAAGTATTTATATTTGGGAAATAAGATCGAATACTAAAATCAAACATATCTTATGGAAAGAATGGACTCTTACATGTGTCGCACCTTGGTACTTGCTAAGGATTTATGAATTGCTTCGACAGATCTTAATATCGAAAATAAGCAAGTTTGTTGAATATTACGCAGGTCAATTTAATTTTATACAAACTGTTTGTATAAATAGTGGCAGTAAAGAATATAGGTATTGGGTAGAAATTTGTAGGTGGCGAAGACTTGACTAAATCAACTTTATTAGATATTTTCTGAACACTTGAAGCCCAAATATAATCGTATTTGAGAAAAGAATGATATAACTCGAATGTTAACAAATACTGTTTTACTTTTACAGATTTGATATTTATTATTGAAAATAATTTTCACCAGTTTATATATATTGAAGAATATATTCCAGAGCATGGCTAAATCTTTTCCTGTCGAGTCCGTGCCTTTCAGTCACTCTCCGTTCTCACATTTTATGCCACAGGCATATGCAGGATATTCAAATCCGTATATGCCAACTGCACCACCAGCATATCCCGGATATTCGTCACATTGGAACGTTTTCCCAGAGCAGAATTCTAATGCAGAAATTGACTCTACACAATTCAACTATCAACCAAGAATATTTGAAACGGAACCTTCATCAACAACAATTCTTCAGCAACCTAATAACGATCAACAAGCAAGAACTGAAGAACCATCTAGAAGTTCAGAATCTCCATTATCAAATTGTGAAAAATCAAGCAATGTTTCTTCCGAAATGTCGCCGTCAAAAAGCAAGTCTTCCGTCATACCTCAACATTCAATTGTGAATAATGCCGACGGTTTAGCCTCTTTGCCGTACAATTATACAAATAATATGCCTAGTTATTATTCTGTTCCATATGAAGGCTATTATGCTCCTGATATTGCACCGAAAGGGCCGTTTAGACCGTTCGAAGACAACACCCAATTTCAAATAGAGACAAAGAAGAACAAATCAGAAACGACAACATTAATCACTCCGCCTCCAACAAACGATTCACAAAATTTTGCAATCGAAAACTCCTTTGCCCAATTTCCAGGTTCAAATTTACCATCACAAGCCAATATCGCACCTCAATATCCGGAATCTTATCGAGGTAGCCTTGCAGCCGGAATTGGTTATACTCTGGGCTACACTCACCAGCCCAATAGTCTGAAGAGAAAAGCAGATGATGTAGACACCCCACCAACAACACCAGAGTCTCCGGAACACGATGACAAAATCACTACATCGTCACAAGACTATCCTGAATCAAAAAGACCACGATTCTCTGGTACTGAAGAGGATTGTTCACTCGCGGATGATCAAACAACGGAAACAAATGTACCAGAAAAAGAAGAAAACATTGAAGGTTGGTCCCAATATTAATTATTTTTAAATATTGAAAAAATTCTAAAAAATTTTTATATAGTAATTGGTATTAACATAAAATATCAAAAATAGTTAAATAGTTCAATGAAGATCCAATAAACATTTTCAATTTTTCAAATATTTCACATATAAAATAACATTTGTAAATAATTTCTAGAAGAAAGTTCATCTGAAGCCATCGACAACCTTGACAACGTGGTGCAACAACGTCTTCCAAGTCCGGAAAATGATGATATTTGTGAACTGACACCATTGGTGCCCTCAGTTCCATTAGAAGAAGAAGCACCATCATCACCCGATCGAAGTTCTCATAACAGTTTGAAATCTTTTTCCGACCAAGAATCCGTTTCTTTGGAAGAGTTCAACAATGACGAGGAAAAGGAAAACAAACCACAGGGCAAAGGAAAGAAAAAAAGAAACGCCAGAACCGTCTACACGAGCTATCAGCTTCAACAACTCAACGATTATTTCAGAAAAATTCAATACCTTGCGCTTCCTGAAAGAGCACGCTTAGCAGCAGCTCTGGGACTGACACAAACTCAGGTATGTAACCAATTTATTGTTTCATTTTATATATATATATTACAAGAAAAAGAGATTTATTCACGATCACAATTATCACACAACTCACAATTATCATTCAACTTTTTATAAAAATTTATTTCACGCAGGTAAAAGTATGGTTCCAGAATCGTCGTTCAAAAATCAAGAAAATGATAAAATCAGGTGTAAATGATCCTGAAGAACTTGGAATTCACGCCGTTGTTGACAACCAAGCACCCGAACACGATGAACGAGCTCAAACATCGCCAGCAACCTCCGCCATACCAGCTATGGGTGGTCGTTCTGTGATGTCTGATGGCATTGGATCAAGATATGCTCATGGAGAACCAAATTCTCATTATACGTATGGGTGAGTAATGATATGTACTTTTTATATACCACTCATCTTAGATTACCAATGCTTGAAATACACTCTAAAATAGTGAATAACTAAAAACATGCACACTGCGGTATCTAGGTTCGGTTCATCGGAAAAAATATAAAAATCTTAACAATTATTCTTTCCATGTTCAGAATGCCACTCGGTCAGGATTCTCAAAATAATCCGGCTGCAAATTATCAATCTGGTTCCTACCAACATTACCACCCTAGCATCGTACAACAACACAATCAGCCAGGACATAGCACAAGTTTGGTAACTCCTCTAGCTTCATTGGAAAACATCCACGAAGGCTACGGCGGTAATGGTGCTGAGATGAACGGAAAAATTCAAAACGGTTATCCCGGAAATCAATACAACGATATCAACTCCAGTAGTGAAATTCAATCAAGTGAGTCATATTTACCAACAGATGCAAGAAACTTTTTACCAATTCCAAATTTTTCAAACTGAATTATCATGCTTTTTATTTCTAGTTCAACAAGAAAATATTCGTCACCAGAACTATTCATCATACTACAGTCAAGACACTGCCAATATGGCCCAAGGCAACACAGACTCACTATATGGATCATCAGCCGGGTATTATCCAACTTCTCACCAACAGCATAATTTGTACGCAGATGCAGCGGGACATGATGTCATGGGACAGATGAATGGAAGATATTAGTATAATATAAATGTATGTCAGAAAACAAATGCCATGGCGATGTTCGAGGCGGGGGTGAAGAGTCGACCGACCCAAGCCAGATCAGCGGGTAACTTGGCGTCCACCTGCCCTGCAAGTTCATATGTCTTCTTTTATTTGGTAACTCGTGACTGCTCAAGTTATACTTGTAACGGTTGGACAAATAAAAACATGTGAAGTATATCACAATTGCCTTAATAATTTTCAACTATTTTTTTTGTTTTTAAATATTTTACTACACTTTGATACACTGATGATATTTTTGTGCCTTCCTATTGCCAAATAAAATGCATGTTATTTAAGAACAAGAAAAATAGAGTATACAAAAAAGGGGGAATCGTCAGATACGTATGTATAGCACGTTCTACTAAATTCTTGGTATTGGTGGGAAAATCGCTCTTCTCATTGACCACTGAATCAAGGGCTTCCAAATTTGAGGAAATATATAAAGGTGTTGCCTGAATATTACTAACATATATACTTACATGTTTACTGGACTTCGTAAGTCCCGTTGCTTCATCCCAAACTTTGCTATTTTTTTAGAAATTGCAGTAGATTATTTTTCGATCGATTCGCCCAGAGCCTCAAGAACGGCTTACGTAACAATACTGCTATACCTTCTTGTATGATTGAAAACAAAGCGCACATACGCATCGTTTCGGTATTAGGTTGTTGTTCATGTTGGACACGAAATGGACCTCTTGATCATTTTGTTATATTTTTGTTGTTGATCATCATGTTAGTCTTTCGTTTCTTCGTATTTTTCTCTCCTTCTTCTTGTTATGAAAAAATCGTTTTTCTCATTAACCACTGGACCAAATTTTTAGTGGTTGAAGATTGTATTTTTCGTGAGAAGGGAATCACTTTTATTTATTTTAAAAATGTCTGTGGCTTCTATGGGATTCGTTTTTTTGTGTGCGATGACGTCATCAAAATTAAAATTACGTTCCATGTGGCGGTTCCGCTTTCGCGTAAGATCAAATCTGCTGCTCAGCTGAGATACGATACCAATAGGCTACCGTGACAGATCACATACCCGTACTATTTTGTGTTCATATATTTGAGCATGGCTTTCTTTTTAGTCTTTCTTTACTTCTTCTTGCTATTGTGAAAAAAATCCCCCTCTCTTAATTACCGTCTCTAATTATTACACCGTTTCTTTACTTCTTTGAAAGTTTGAGGCAAAAATTTAGCATGAATTTGTATATTTGCGTTCAACGTTTTTAACATTTGAAAAAAAAACTCCTATCGCATTATCATCATATCACAATACTTGTGATGGTAAGTCGAACACATATGGAAGTTTTCAACAACAGGGTACTGCCCAAAACAGAACCCATAGAATATATATGTTCCAAAAGACCCTAATCACCCTATATATACATTGACTGTGTGAACTTACGAAACACATACATCATCACCACTTCTATCATTCTACATGTTCAAATTACTCAAAAATTTTGAAACTCATAAAACCCGGCAACTAAAATAGTGTTTCTGCTCGCATAGAAAAACAGGGCCAACTAATCTTTACATTCGAAACCCTTTCACAAAATGCAGACAAACAATCATTACTGAGATAACAATCGGCGAGATAAAATTTCCCTACAACAATCTGTCCAGAATATTGACACAACTTCATAAAGATAATAAGCACTAATACTCCAAACTCTTCAAGATATTTTGATAAGAAAACAAAAAGTATTCATAACGTAACTCATTAGAACTAAATCAAATATCACGAAACGGTGTTTGGTATGTATATAGCTGTTATTGCTCTTGAAAGTCCACTTTTAGGCGATTACTCTACTGTTGTGTACTGCTCTTATCAACCATAATCATTCCAAACTTATACACCACCGTAGATTGAATTTTAATCCGACTTGAAATATCAGAGACAAAAAAAATCTAAATTTGTGACTTAAATAATCAAATAACAGCTCGAAACTTCCTAAACAATAGATTCAAGATTTCCCATTTTATTTATAAGATGCATGATACGGTCACGCATGGATGTTGCTGTGAGCCTCGCGTCTTCGTCGTCGTCCCACGCCTCCTCAATAGTTTGTTCAATATCGGAACATGACTCTAATATATCAAACGCCGTTTTTGTATACCTTCTTTCCAGAAAAACAGTTTCTTCCGATTTTTGAGAGTAGCTATCTAGTAATTCCGGTAGCAGGTAATCTGATTTGAAGGAGCATAAACTCTGGCTCCCAACGTCGGCGGATGAATAACTTGCATTGCCGGAATCAGATGAATGAGATGAATCGATTCTTAACGAAGATCTTTTGTATTGGGATGGAAGAAAGGGTCGCATTTTATGTGTTACAACAATGTCATAAATTGACATTCCGTTTCTGCTCTCGTTTTGGTATGGCAGTGATGCTGGTATAATGTTGCAAATATTTCCTACAAATTGATTCCAATATTAATGTTTGCTTTTATGTCATAATTTGTAAAACTTAATATATCTAACCTCCAGAACCTTCAAGACAATGAGGGTATCAATTCGTTATTGTACTTAATTTTGTCTCAGAAGGTGGAATAATATAACAACTGCGAACATATACAACCTCGGAATGGATTAATTGAAATGTCGATACAGAATGACTTCGTGAAGCGAATATGATGAATGTGAACATTATTTTTGGTATGGAATCAACACATGCAAGCAATGTAACGATAACGGTATTTATAAACAAAATTTGAACTTAAATGGTTTTGAATAGGCTTACACATTTGACTTGCAAGTGTTAATAAATTTATGCATTTCGAGAATATTTATTTGTACGCAATAGCAAATTGTTGGCCTCTTATACAGAATATCACGCACCGTAGAAAACACTACATCTTGAAATTACTTCCCACATCACCAGTGCAGTGGAGTAAACATCAGTTTGTTTGAGTGAAGTTTTGTATTTCTTCATGTTAACAGTGCCAAGCAGAATTTCTGGTGCCATGTAGTTTAGTGTTCCCGCTGCTGTAACACTCTGAAAATTGTATGTTTCATATATTTACTTATCTCCCATAAGATTGCTTGGAAAGTAAATAGGGTGCAAGTGGAAAGTGTGAATAATTCGATTTTTAGCCACGTCTTGCATAAATAACTTACTCAAGAGTGTTTTATACTATATGCGCACAGAATACAAAATAAAAGCGATGGATTGGAATAAGCTTTCCCGAAGTATGTGAACCAAAATGGCGGACACCGGAACGTAGTATGTGTACCAGGTTAGAGTTATGTCATAATTTTATTCCAATTTCCCTTTTCTTTATTTTAGTTCTATTACAAGTTTGGGGACTAGCCAAGTGACTCGTATAGGATTTGTACCTGAAATTGTGATCTAACCCTAACCTGGTATACATACTACGTTCCGTTGTCCGCCATCTTGGTTCACATACTTCGGGAGTACCGTCAAGTCTGTCTGAAGTTGAATAAAAGTCGAACCTAAAATCAACTTTAAGTCGTGACTGTATTAGTTAAGTTGCTTCAACTTATTTTCGCTTTACCATTTATATAAGCAATAAACTCCTGGAAGTGTTCATTCGTACAGGATATGCCATACAATAAGAGTATCGGAGGCCCTCGAATATGTCCTGGAATTGACCAACAAAAAGCCTAATATTTTATGGTGTAATAAATTTATATACGTACGATGTTTTCCTCTTCATCTAACTTATCATCAAGGCAGATGAGAGACAATCCAAAATCAGATATTACAACTGTCGCGTCATCTTTGATGAGAAAATTGTTGCTTGTGACATCTCTATGAATGATTGGTGGCGTAACCTTGTCTTCTGCCAAAAGTAAATTTTTTGTTAAAAGCGATTTACGCCCAAAGGCAAAAGAAAACTCCGTGCGATATGTGTTATAACGTTATTTTGTCCCCAAATTTATCAAATTAGTCGGAGACTCAGAATAAATTCTTTTTTGTGTGTGTCTGTATTTCTTACTCCAAATTGGTTGATATTCAATGAATGGAATTATTTGAAAATCTGTAAATCATTCCTGGATTAAATATCTCTTGTTAAGTAGTCTATGGTTATGATAAGAAAAATAGAAACAAGTTTTGTCACAAATACCAGGATTGTGTAAAAACGAAATTGCTTCTGTGATGTCGGACAGGATGCCAACACAAGTTGTAAAATCGAGTATATTGGTTTTCAAGTAGTTTCGAAGAGATCCCTGTAGAAAAAATATAACCAGTTCCTTAGTTACTAAATTCAAGGTAAACCGACAAACAGGAAAAATGTTACCTGTGTGCAAAATTCAAGTGCTAATCCAGGATTGCACTTCGATGATGAATAAATCTCCCCTTCAAACTTGACAATGTTCCTGTGGTTACATTTTTTCAGGATTGAGTGACACCTTTTCTCTTGTGCATACATTTTAGCGCTTTGAGCCATTGAAACGTAGAATTCTGAAAACAAGGTGATTCACATAGCCCGCTATTTTACCTTCTGTAAATACAGATTACGCTAAAGTTTTTCTTATGTGAAAATGTTCCACGGTAAAGTTACCCCAAGTTCACCCAAACTCAGGCTATGGAAAATCCTTAACATATAGAGGCGGTAGAGCAGTGGTTTTAAGCCTTTTATGGTTCGTGACCCCCTTCCGGCGCATTTTTGCTCTCGTGTCCCCCGTACGTCATTCCAAAAACTAAACGTGTTGGATTGTATGTTTTACGACTATTTATGGAATGCAAAAACAAACCAGAGACAAGGAAGACCAAGCTTTTTAGTATACAACGAATGTGTATCTTGCGCTTTGGATTGTCTGACGAGGTTCCTAATTCTAGGGACCGTAATTGATATAGCCAGACGAATGTCACTGTCAAACTTGAGACGGTTTTGATGCTAACAAGATCAGAAAAACCAGATTCCCACAAAGGTTGTCACAAAGTCTTCCACCTGCGTATGATTTTTGTCACTTCACTTTTGGAGTTTAGGTGGACGTAATGATTCATTGCTCATTACATACGAGTAATGCAGGTATAGAACTGTCATCTCGAGTTACTTTAGTAAAGCCAACGTAATTGTCGTTTCATTTTCGTATTTTAGGCATTATGAATTTACATATGGGATATTGCATCTATAATGAGATAGCGAAAGTTATCTTGCAGTCTAGTGAAACCGCCCGTCTGCAGGTTAGACGGCCTATCAGCAAACTATTTTGATTGGTGGATTCCAAATTCCATTATGATCAAACAATTCAGGCACGCACAAGAAAGTGTTTACTCCCAGTGATCGCAAATAACCTATATAGGTAATAAAAATGCGATGAACGCCAAAACAGGGAATTTGATTTTGGAAGGAAATTATGCAAACGAAGTCGCCTTCGTCGTCGGGGGGGACAGAGTCCGGTTGAGAACCACTGATATAGAGTAAAATATTTGAATTGAATGAATATGGTACCACGGGGATAATAAATACCATTAAAATTTTATTTTTCAAGAAAACAGACTATAGGTATTTATTTATATAACAGCCACAGAATCAAGTTGGTCATCGCTTTGACATAAATGTTTAATAAACTAGTTGACAAGATAAAATTACTTTTCTACCTTTTATGCAGAGCATGTTGTCGCTTTTATCAGATTTTACACTGCGGAGACTGATGTGTCTAAAAATATTAATCCAGTTTTGATTGGCGGAATAGTCTACATAAAATGCCGGTACGGGGGAATATTCTTGAGACTAAGTAAAATTGTCATCAAAATAAAACTAAGAAGTTTTTCTACGGATTCATTTAATTAACATAATATAATATGTTTATGAAAAATGCAATTTAGTGTGAATAAATAAGCATTAACCATCTAACTTACCCATATCTCCCCTGATAAATTTTACCAGCGCAATCGGTATTTGATATATTGACTTTGTGTTCCAAATCTTTATTTTGCGATTCTTCTGACCTAAGTAGAAATATATGAAAATAAAAGTAAGAGCTACTATATTAACTGTATGTGTTTTCATCCGAATTTGAATTCTACTGTCGGGCTGCTTTACGAACCATGTTCAATATTTTTAAAAGTCTGTGTAAACATTTCGATTTCGAGTTTTGCTGAATAATATTGGGCCATTTTCTCAAAATTAACCATGGAATGTTCTTCATTTAGAAATGTCACAAACTACCCCAGAAATACACAACAGAAAATAGTGAAATAGGTTGCGTGCTGAGTTTTGGGTCAAGTATCTGTTTTCGTTCTGGCGTAGAGTTACTAACTGGAATGGAATCAATCTACAAAGGATCATTTTAACATCAGGACCTCTCTGGTTCATTGTAATGATCACTCGTACCTGTTTAATTCGATAGTTAAGTGATGAGCAGAGCAGGCGCTTTCATTGCTGGAGGTAAATGTTATTTAGTATAGATAGAGTATGGATAACAAGTAATTCATCTACTAATATACTGTACCTACTATCATCCGGTGTATCATGTACGCTTTTCAGTAACTTCATAGCTGAATATAAATGATGTTACAGCGATCACTTCATATGGCAATGCATAAATATTTGATCAAAACCAAAGATGATAAGAAACCAAATGTCAATTAAATCTAAACCAATTAATCTACAGTCTGTTGCGTCGTCAATCTATGTTCATCACGCATGCTTAAAGCAAATAATACAATAGCTGCTGCGTTCTTATCGTCGTGATGAGCAATACTTTTGAGCAGTGGCTTTCAACCTTTATTTTGTTGATCGGAATCCCAATGAAACAGTGCAGAGGCTCAAAGAACCTCTTGCAGGTGGATAAGTCTAATAATTATTTAGCTGTATGCAGCTGGGACCCAGATTACACAGAATCACATCAATATCAGATGTTGCAGTCTACATGTTTGCACGCATTGTGATATAAAATTTGACTACCGCGTACAAAAACGTGGGAAGTTTCTAAAAATTACACTACCCATGAAAAAGAGGAAATTGTAATAGCACATTAAGGCAAACCTTCCTTTTACATATATACAGTACTTGTTCAAGTTCTACGGCCGGAGAGTATCGACAACCTTTTGTATGACCAATGAAACCCGTAAGTAAATACGAAAAATAGGGAGTAAAACCTCATATGGTCGTGCTTATCAAACATTGAAGGATTAAGATATGAAAATACAGTTGTTTATCGAACCATAATTTTATTGCTAGAGAGATCGTAATAATGATATATCCGTTGCCGTAACGAAAATCCATGCTTTTTCCATAAACAAATTTTTTTCTTTTTTATAATTCAAAATCATATATTAGACGGGGTGGTCCAAACCCAGGCTCGCGGGCCACATATGGTCCGTCGCTTCATTATCTGTGGCCCGCGCCGCATTCGAAGAGTAATCAAAATATCGTATTTTAAATTGCTTCTCATAAAATAAATCAGAAAAATCGTTCGACATATTGTTGTTATATCACCACTGTGATTGAATTGACTAGTATGATGGCTAGCTGAAGCAACAAGCGAAGTTGAATAATGTGATGGGCAGTTTAAATTGTTACCTAGATTTCTATCGTTTTGGTTGGGCTAACAATATAGCATGATAGAAAACTAAAAATCGAATGCGGATTCCATTAGCCTAGGTTGGCAATGCCTGTTAATTATGTGTTTACACAATAGAAATGCTTGTTTTGTACTACACTGTTTACCTATTCTTGGTACTATTGTGGACCGCGACCAGTGCCAAAATAATTTTGTGGCCCGCGGAGCCCACAACCTTGGACCACCCTGTATTAGAATATATCTTGAACAAAAATTTTAGGCAGACTCAATGATACACACAGCTTCGAATATAGAAGCTGTGTAACATTTGTTTTTTTTTTCATAAAAGATGCTTGCAGAGAAAGCATGCGTTTTTTTTTTAAGAAATTCATGTATGTTCATCAATGATAAAGATAAACAAATTTGAAGTAACCGGAACCATTTTAAAATCGAAAAATTCAACTCAAATATAAAGCTCATACTTTTTGAAAGAGATCCTGATATTCTTTTCCTGTTATACAAAGACACACATGCGAAACATAATACAGCTAACGATACGAGAACAACATAACCGAGTTCCGTGTCAGCATCTGAACAATAAAGTTAAAAAAAATGATTACTACATTTTGACTTGATATCGCGATTTTTAAGCAAAATTTTGCAACGGAGACGATACAGACTTCTTGTAGTATAAAGGGTTCTGATGTTTATGGTAAGCAATTATAATTTGTTTTTAAGAGAGACTTTATACAAATTTTCACAATTCAAATTCGTGTAGCTATTGTTGGTATTGCTATTGGATGTTATATCTGTTTATGACAGCCTCTGTTGAACTTCAATACACAGAAGTTGACATCTTAGCATCATGTGCGTAATAAAGAAGTCAAATATTATAAAACAATTTTGGGAAGCATTCTTATTCCAGTATCAAATATACCTGTCGCATATGGCTACTATCTTTCGAATTTATAACGGAAAGTGAATCTGCGATGTCCAATTTTCATGCCAGTCGCCAGTTACAAACAAGAGCAAATATAAAACGGTAAACTATAAGTTAGGTTTTATGTTTACTCACATTCATTCAAAGCACGTAGTTCTTACGTAATAGATATTTTTATGAGTATAAGGTTGTAAACACAGACATTATGAAAGTTGAATTTGAGACAGCGGAGACTTCAATTTTTATATTATTAGAGAGTTATTTCAAAAAAATGCATATTTCCCAAGAGGCGTATTCCCAATTTCACTACAAACAAGTACTAGCCTTCACTGATTATAAGCAGCCACTACTATCAGAAAGACAAAAAAATCTTTCGGGTTCAGCATTCTTATGCAATTTTTACTTGGGTGAGGTGATGAGAATGTGATGTGAACCCTGGATTTTTACCCTGCGACTATATTAAAGCAGTATTTGTAGCTTTGTATTTGATTTCTTGGGTCGGACGGTAAACGCAAGTAACATTAGTCGAAACGGTGTAAGCATATTTGTTAACTATCAATTACGTACATACAATAAAGTAAGTGTTTGTAACTAAAATACTTTGATTTGCGTGAAAATCTGTAGCAAGGCACTTTTGAGCACAATGCAATTTCAATGTTACTTACTTGGATATCCTTCAGTAGACTCTATGAAGATTTCGTAATCATTGTATGGTATCTGTACTGATGTCAAAGCATTTGAATCGTTTCTTTTCACAAGAAAGTCGTTGCATAAATTTCCTTTGCAACAACATACATGATTATCGCAGGCTGTTGCAAATGCTTCGCATTTATAATATGAACAGTGGTCAGTAGGAAATCCATCGGCTTCAAACTGGTAGCATCCTGATGAATGTAAAATATTCTCTGAGAATATAGCAGACTCTGTCTATGATAGCATTGTTCGTCGTTTTTGCTAATTTGCACGTGTCAAAGCTTACATGGCATACTATAGTCAGGTTGATTTGATTGAAATTCCTCCAGGGGCGCGATTCATGTTCCGAGCGATACCAAGTTAAGATCACACAAAATTGCTTTGGGACCATTGGGACGTAAGAAACACAAGTTATAACTTATTACGTCAAACGTCACGCTGCGGTTAGCGGTTAATTTTACCCAGTTTTCCGTTAAATTCCCAGCCCTAGTCAATATTTTATGTTTTGGGGTGAAACATAAAGTACATCCGTACAATTTTAAGATTAATGAATTATTTCTCTGTATAGGGAATATCGAGAGGCGCGTTTACGAGAAGATTGAAACACAAATCATCATCAGCAACAGACTCGGCAGGGGATTGTCGCAAAGCGTCACTATAAATTTGAATGTTATAATTTTACCTTGCTTGATAATTGAAACAGTCTCGTTAACGTACTTCCAACTGGCGAAGCAGGCCTGTGAAATATAAATGCCACATAGTGTTAAATTCAATATTGCAAAAAAAAAATTTAATTAATAAGCTTAATTTTTAAATTTTAACGCCGTAAAAATTATTGTACCACGCATAGAAAAGATCTAGCTATTAACCTAAAATACATTATCGGATTTCAAAATAACAGGGGAAAAATTAGGAATTAGAGAGGTGCTATTTGTAATCAAAAACCCAACAGTTAGTCAATTCGGTAAATATTTACAGTGTAAAATCGTCCTTCTTATTATAACATGAAGTTTAAATTAAAGCTGACTTATTGCAGAAATTACGTTCTTTCAATCTTGACTTCAAAAGTTAGGATAGCAAAATCAATTTGGCATGTCAAAGCTCTTCATTCCACAGACGTGAAAGTTTTAATTTCAATCATAACAAATTTAAAACTGTTCGTTTGCTTACGTCAAACTTAAATTCATTATCGGCCAGACATTTACGATTTTTTAAATGCATTGTTTCTTTCATTTTAATGTTATTTAGGGGTAGGACCGAACTTCAGTTCAATATCAAGGCCAGGTACAGGTCGTACAGGTGCATTACCGTTAATAATTACATTTAAACAAGCCTTGATTATCTGTGGGATAACATTATGAAGTGTTACATCAAATATTTGTCTTAACACTTTGTACTGAGTTTATTGTTTGTTGTGTAGGGATTACAACATTGCAGTATTGTTTGACAGGAACTAAATCCTAGGAGCCCCACTACCCCCTACTTTGATTGAAATTCTGAAAATCAGTCTGTCCATGTATATTATCATGGCGGAATAGATCAGAATTTATATACAAGCCGAGCAATATGCTGCAGTTTGGCACATTTTCCCATTTCTTCCTTTCAATTTGTCGAATACATATTCTATCAATTGATATTTATTCAGTAGACCAGGGCTACTCAACTATTTTTACCGAAGATCCGCATACAAAACTTCAAAAATATTTGGGTCCGGACTTTTCAGAAATTATATTTAAACACGCACTTCCTCGACAGACTAATGATTATTAGCTATATAAAGTTGTTTATTATGGCGTTAGAGTTCTTTTCATATTTATTTAAACCTATAAAAGTGATTTTATAAAAGGAAACTTTAAAAATGGGAATAATGATCCAAAATAAAGAATTAGTCGCGGTCCGAATCGAATACCTGGAAGGTCCGGGAGTCGGACCGCGGTCCGCCAGTTGAGTAGCCTTGCAGTAGACTATAAAAGCCTTGTCCTCTATGACCATAGGCGCGAATAAAACGATTAAAACATTTGTTGAGATAACGTTTGCAAAGATTCTTGTAAATCTAATTTTTGTTACTAATAATTTTTATTTTTTCTCCTCAAAAACAATGCAATTAGAATAAAAATGTTAACATTGCAATGTTGCAAAAAAGTAAAAAATATACCGTAGTTTCCTCTTCGCAATATATCTGCTCCGATTTTGCACCGGCGTCTATATTAAATGATCTGCACTTCGTTGGTTCTACAGTTGTAGTTGTAATTACCGGCATAATCCAGCCCAAATTTCGTATTTTAAGATTGACTAGAAGAAAAAATGATATATTAATTTACGACCACTGACTGACCAGCTGATCAAATAGTGACCCGCCATGTTTTTTCGATGGCCCGCCAAGTCACACATAATAGCAAAAAACGCACTAAAAGTCAGTGGTAATTATGCCGGCTACTTCTATCAGACAACATGTATTTAGGACTATTCTGTTCTATTCCGGGGAGCTTTAAATCACAAGTTCAATAAGTTCATTATTAACAATAACTGTCGCTGCAAATTAATTACACACTACTTTGTTTGTTGTTATACATGTTCATGCGATTACCCTTATCGATATTTTACTTTCATGCACGCACCTCGCTAGTGAGTGAGTGTGTATTATATGATGACGCGCCTGTTTTTGAAGTATCTAGAAATAGCAAAATATATTTGTTCAGTTCCAGCATCTAACGAATTAGGCGAAGGTCATTTGTTGAACTTTAATGTATTTGTTAAACAAATGTGTGGGATTTTGTGCCCTTCCCTGTTGTTAGTAGCACTTGTTCGCCCTGTTGAGTCCGGATAATTACGGAATGTAGTAAAACGAATAGGAGCTTCTGGCGATGCGATTATCTCATTACGTGATCAAGTCTGCAGTATAGTATAAAGAAGAAAACAAAAACGCAAATCCTGACAATCTGACAATGCTTCTCTACAGTTTTATCTATAAGATATTTTTGTCTCGATAAACCATGCTGGGCATTCTGACTCCTAAGATCAAGCTTCTTCTTTTTTGTACCTAATTATCGTAATGGGGGTATATAATAATATGATGAGCTGGAAAAATCGTAACTACCGGAACGCACCTGATTCGCAAAAATGGAATATATTTACAACACAACGCGGACGTTAACAGAAAGTTTTGTCTGGTCTAAGATAGAGCCGAAGAACTACAATGAAATATGGCGAAATTATCTGAAATATGTCTGTGTAAGCTCGAAAAAATATTCACAGCAATTCAATGCAAATGTTATCATTAGAAATGTATGGGATGAATTGCCATGGGTCCAAAGTCGAGGAAACATATATTACATGTTGCCGATGTACTAATTATTTTTGTGATGGTATGTAACAAGAATTACGAATTATGATGTACCTAAACATAAATTATTAATAAGGTTTGCCAGAGAAACTGGGCTTTCTGTACCATAATTTTATTCCAACAACAGGAACGCAAATGCAATAAAATGTGCAACAACCGGAACACGGTTCCAGTGCGTTCCGGCTACAGCTCACCACTGGGTATATTACGTTTAACTATTTATGATTTAAAAAAAGATTCCAATTCTGAGGACATGAAAAATGTTTCTTAATACATGTGTTGCGTATAGCTAGGTCGGCTTATGGGTCTGTATATGAATCAGATTACAACAATGCTTGAACTATATGAAGTTGAGGGGGCTTAAGAGCAACACATAGTACAGACCCGGTCGTTTATTAATTGATAATCTATTTTGAATCTCTTGAAGAGAGTCCAAGACCATTAAATCGTTTTATAATATTAAAGTTTCTGAAAACTCGCCACCCAAAGATATTCTCAAGCAGTGCTTTCATTGCGTAAAATGAAATTAACAGATACAAAACAACCATTTTTATACATACTATTTATTCTAACAGAAAATGCTTCAAAGTGAGAAAACGATTGTTTTCCATCAACGAGTTTTTGAAATCGTAGCGTGGCAGAAAATAAATCGATAACTTTCAAGTTTTTTGTTGTAAATCACGCGACCCAAGAGCAATTTCAGGAGACCCGGTTTTCGGTCGCGACCCATAGGTTGGGAAACACTGCTCTAGGCTAACTCAGATAATCATGTATATATAGTCATAAAGATAAACACTGATCTAACCGCACTTGTCCAAACTGAAACACGCTTTGCACGACTTCGGTGAATAAGCGAGTATGCTTTTCTGGGAAGCAATTTTAGTTTCATCTGACCAAAACAAAATGCAGTAGTACTTCATACAACTTCTCACGTTCATTAATGTTAATATTTAGATAACGCGTTTCGTGCCTCCCTAGCATTAACCGCTTATTTGTGTGATACGGTTAGATTACCATAACAGTGGTATCTAAAGGAGAAACGGATCTCATATCAGAGCGGGAAACTCAAGGCATGACATGCATAAATTATTCTGTTATTATGAGGTAATACATTCATATATAATATATATTATTAAAACCGCCTGTCATTCCTCCTCTCTTTAACGACCCGAATTATAAACGTATCCAAGAACATGGCGGAATTATTTGACAAATTTTTTCCAAATATCTGCAGTCTTGATTCAAAATGACATAACCCCTAATGATAAGTACCAATATTAATTCAAATTGCCAAGCCCAGCTCCTCGACTACTTCCAGGCCTGAATTATTTCTAAAAATGTTCTTCTGAACTATCTCCGATTTTATACAAATTATTCGATAAATGTTTGTCTTAATCCCCTTTTTTCAGACTGATGGAAATCAGCTATCGTTGTTCCCGCTTTTCAGGACGGATCCTAGTGAATATCATCCTTTTGTCTATTATAAACATGGTATTTTAATCTCTTGGCAACACAGGACTCACTGACCAGTGGCCACCCAAAATCACATGGTTATTAGACAGACAACCAACATGTATTTTGTCAAAAACGTTGTACTGATGAATATCTGAAAGAATATACCACCACATACCGCCTCATTGAATCAGGTGAAGCTAATTCAATTGGCTTGGATATTTCAAAGACGTCTGATAAAGTTTGTCATACGATTTTATGCACGAAATTCAATATATATCTGCTCAGAATTTTGATAATTTCTTTCTGATTGCAAAATGAACGTTGATATTGATGGCCAGCGCTGCCAAACATACCGAATCTCATCAGAAGTCTAGAAGTCTTTCAGACCTCAATATCTGGACCTACATTGTTCCACAATTTATCATTGATTCCCCAGCTAATCTCACATGCGATTCACTCATTCATGCTGACGACACAGCTCTTTATTCTTGTCTTGCCGCGCCACTGCATGAAGTCGAGCGCTCCCTTGAAATTCTTTGAAGAATGAAAAATTTGCCAATATATTTATTATGTAATTAGCGGTGACGAGTTGCTAAAGATAAACAAAGGAGTGAATCCGCAACCTAAATTCTCTAGATTTGAATGCGACAATATAAAAGACTGAAATAATTTTGATGACGTCATAGCGAGAAAAAAAGTAATAGCCTTCTGGAGAAAAATTTTATCTTTAACCACTGAAAATATCAAAGCAATTGGTCCAGTATTCGAAATGAAAAGCGATTTTTTAAAAATGGAGACGGAGACAAAGATTTGTCCCCTGCCGATATTTGTCCCCTGAGTGCATACTTCCCTTCTCAAATCACTGATATGCATGTATGGAGCATTGCTGTTATATTTGAACTGGTACTGCAAATTAAAAACAAAAACATCAAAATATGATTGGTGCCCGAACTGCAAACTATATTTCCATCGCTCATTTGAGTAGTCTCCAGTAACTCCGCTCAGAAATCAGTATGTTTCGTTTCTAGGTGACTGCGCGTGAGATTGCTTTGAAGCGAATTTCCTTTGAAGATAATACACATTTTTCTCAAGTTCTGTGTTGTAATTTTCCACTGAATTCTTTCGGAACCGCGAGTTGCAAGAGCACAGACATTGGCAAAAATATTCTTCCCTACAG